CTCTCTCTCTCTCTCTCTCTCTCTCTCTCTCTCTCTCTCTCTCTTGATGTAAGCAGACCTGATGTGAAAAAAAAAAAACGGTATTATTGAATTTATTGTACACTATTGCTCTTGCCAGGGACTTTCAATGTGCATGTTTGCACTGCTTAAAAAATAGATATTCAATTCGCAAGTGATGCAGCATCATATCAAAAAAAAAAGAAAAAAAAAAGAAAAAAAAAAGAAAAAAAAAAGAAAAAAAAAAGAAAAAAAGATGCAGCACCATACCTTCCCGTATACGGTGTATCGAAGTGCCGCTCGTAGACGAGGATTCTCATCTGTCAGCAAACGCTGAAAAAGGTAGGTAGCACACAATAGACAGACATTGTCGGAACCCATCCACACCGTGTCAATTCACGCACATACATTCATCGGCATGGTAGAGACTCTAGAGAGTAGAGAGTAGTATTATGTGAGACACATCCTGACAGACTGAAATGCTGTAAGCCAATTATTAACTCTGACACTCAGCACCTCTAACATCCAAAAGGGAGTTTCAAAAAAAAAAAAAACACCTGACACTCCGGATAAATAGACTATTAGACACTCACCATCCATCCCTAACACAAAGTCTCAATCTCAATCCTAGAGGCTATTTTTCGCTACCGTCTTCACCTGAATAAAACACCTGGTCATTATGATATTATCGCTGCATCTGGTCTGAAAGTTGCCCCAAATACAGCTAGAATGACTGGGCGTTCTATTCGGGTGAAGACAGTTAGCCTAGTATTAACTGTAATCAATACTTCATGGTGTTATCCTTAAGCGAAATGTTGGGCACTTGTAATCCCCCCCCCCCCCCCCCCCTGTAAATCGACACTCACATATTATCACTAACACAAATCCTCAACCCAGAACCCTAAATCCTAGCCACTTTACTCCTCTCCGCCTCGTTGCCTTTCAATACACACCCACTCCCATTGAAACCATCTGCCTTGTTGCTTTGTTGCCCACTTGGCTGCCGGTCTGCCCACGTGTTTGTCGTGTTGCCTGCCTTATTGCCTCCGTTGATTTCTGCTTCACCACCCACAACTCAGCCTTTTGCATGCCTTGCTGCCTTGCAGCTCACCGGGGGTATCACACGCAACCCTGCCTGCCTTTTGATTGTCTCGGTGCTTGCTTGCCTTGGCCCCCAGCTGTCTGTCCGCCTTCTGCCGCCTACCCTGTCGGTTTGTAACCTGCCTGAGAGATGCCCACTTTGAATTAGGTCAAGACAGACCATGACTTAATGCACCAGAAAGGGATTCTGCAGAATGTTGAGGGTTTAGCCTCCTGACAAGTCTGTGAGAGTCCCGTTTGAACGGATTTCACGTGTTGGCCCTGTCCGGGGTCGCGGTCCGAGAGTCCCACCTGGGACCAGTCCCAGTTGGCCCCGGTCGGTACCAAGTCCAGGGTCCTAGAAGTCAGGTAGGCCCTAGAGGCCAAAGCGTCGTCGGTCTGCAGGGTCCGATAGTTTATTTAGATCATTAGAAGTCGTATGCCGGTACCCGACAAGAAAAGTATACAGTCTATGCCGGTACCCGACAAGAAAAGTATACAGTCTAAGTCCAATTCCATAGCAGCATCCTGGGAACGTCCGGTAAGTTCTGGAACTGGCAAACTGCAGCCGACAGGCCGCATCGACCGGTACCGGTTCACAGCTGGCAACGATTCGCTTCAGCTGCTATTTATAGATGCTACAGTGCTTCATTGATTCGCATGTTGTGAAAGCTATGCTGTAGCGCTTGAGTGACTGAGCGACTGGAAAGTCGGTTGAAGAAGAAGAAGAAGAAGAAGAAGAAGAAGGCCGATTGGGCACCATAGTTAGGGTTGACGACGAAGAAGATGGCAGCCATAGCTGCAAGGTCGAAGTAGCGAGTGTATCTCGACAGCGAGTGGGAGCGGTCCAAGGACACAGAGGGAGAGATACAAGAAAAGAGTGAGAAAGAGAGAGGGAGAGAGAGGGCGAGAGAGGGAGAGAGAGAGGAAAGAGAGGAAGAGAGAGGGAGAGAGAGGGACAGATCTGAGTGGAAGTTACCTGTGTGGTGTGACGGCGAGAGCGGCCATAACAGCCTGTATTATATCGTTTGAGGGAGCAATCCATTCGGTTGGGCTAGCTGCCATCTCTCGTTTGTTGCGCGAGTTTTCTGTGAACTTTCAGTGTGATGCATGTCGAAGTTTGCCATTGAATTGAAGTGGGTTCATTGCATATTATTTTGTTTGTTTCGTCACTTTCCTTTTGAATGACAGGCCAGTTTCGGTGAACTTTCAGTGTGATGGAGTTTTCGGCGAACTTTCAGTGTGATGGAGTTTTCGGTGAACTTTCAGTGTGATGCACGTCTATATATTGTATATATTGTATATCATAGTGGGGTGGCATCTGAAATGGAACTTAGCAATTTACGTCTTATCCTATTGGATTTTGCGGCCTAGGGTATTGCATTTCGCTGAAACTTAGCACACAACCGCCCCCCGGCCCCCCCTCAACACACACACACATACACACGCACACACTAATTCAAAACACACACACAAGCATACACACAGACACACACCCATGCTTACCCCCACACCCACATACGCACGCATACACACTCATGCACATCCACACACCCACATTCACACCCACACCCACACCCCCATCCAAACACGCACTCTCTCTCTCTCTCTCTCTCTCTCTCTCTCTCTCTCTCTCTCTCTCTCTCTCTCTCTC